CCCCCCCCCCCCCCCCCCCCCCCCCCTTTCGTATCCCTCGTTTTGTTGTAACCCCCCCGCGATTCGCCGTTCACCCGTGCCGTGTGTGTCCCATAGGTGCTGAACAAGGTGGAGGACGAGGAGAACGAGCAGGCATTCAAGGATGACGACCCGGACTCGGACGACAGCGAGGGACGCGCCATGTGATGCGACACGACGTGATGCCGTTCCATGTCCCACGTGATGGCCGACGTTGTTGTTGTGGTTGTTGTTGTTGTTGTTGTTGTTGTTGTTGTCAAGAGGTTCGTTGGGCGATGTGCGTGGCCGGTCCAGCAGCGCACAGCCGGCTTCCCACTACCGTGCGATTGGCGCGGCTGGTGAACTCGACCAAATGTGGTGCGGCAATGTAATACGCTGCATTTGGTGGCGGGCGTAGCAGTACAACCGTGTACTCTTTCTGCCATGTGCATTTGGCATTTCTGAGGCGTAATTTTCCGAGTACGTCATCTCATTCCGCATATATTTCGTGCAGCATACTTTGCTTGGAGAAACGGAAGTTATTTACAATCATTTTGCTACAAGTGGTCGTTGAATGGGGTAGTTCAGGAGAGAGGCCACAAATTCATGGCCGCCCCCGAGGCGTTAGACAACAAATGGTTATGGGCGGAGCAGCGCACAGGGACTCATTATGCTTGCTACAACTGACCGTTTGGGATTTTCTGTCCTTGCGAAATTTTACAGGATCTTTTTCTGGCTGTGACCACCGCTCTATTGCGAGAACCCAGCAATGGTTGATTATTCTTTGTACAGCAGTGCAGTTTTGATGGGTGAACATGTTGATCGATGCAAAAATCGAATGCACCCACCATGGAACGAATTTTGAGTGGTCAAGACTTCGCGGTGACGATGTGTTCTTGATCAGTCGGTCCATGAGGATTTATTTGTGATCTACAGCAGTGGTCAAATACAGGTATTATTGTGTCGTCTGGGGGAGCTCTTCTTTCCTTCGTGTGTACCTAAGTGAGTGAGGTTGTTTGTGATGTTGGATTGGGTGGGCTCGGCCTCTATCCCCCCCCCTGAAGCAGTTTGTTGAAGGTCTGATTGGCGATAAGAAGACGGCCACCGTTTCTACTTTGTATTGTGTGTTTCCCGCTCCCGCTCTACCGCTGGCGCCCTCAAGACGCACTCACACCGTGTATAAAGCTCAGGCTCCGCCCATGCTCACGCGCACGCTTGTGGACCTCTTGATCAATATGCACTCTCGCGCGCAGAGGGCGCCACGGCTCGCGGAGCACATATAGCTTTCCGGAGCGGGGCATCAACGTCATCATGTCCTTGGTCATGTGACGTAGAAAATAATGTGAAAATGACCCCCCCCCACCTAAACATCTCGGAGTTTTTGTTTTGTCTGTGTATCCCCCGGTCGCCCCTGTAGCAACCGCAAGTTCTCTCCGTCACACCATCTCTGCCCCCCCCATCACACGTGTGAAGAGTGGCTACAGGCATCCTCCACCTTATCTATTCTGAAAAGGTGAGAAAAGGGGTGCTTTCTTGCATCCGTGGGGGAGGTGAGGGTGGTGTATCATACCCCACTGTCCACGCTAGCCTGTCACGTGCACCGCTCGCACAAGTTGACTCTGTATCAATATGCTGTATGTACATCTGTACACACAAAACTTGCACTCCGCTAAGCCCAGTTTCTAGCCGGTTACCCTCCACTCACAGCTGTAAGGACTTCCCTCTCGACTGGGGTTAGACTACATAGTCTAGTCGTTCGGTGAGATTTACTACCTATACTAATAGATCGGGAGGTGGAATAGTTTTTGTTGAAAAACGTACCTGCAGTAGGCTCGTGCGTTGCCACCATTGGCCCGTTTACTCCATGCAGTATTACAATACATTGATTGAGGTGTCGGGGGCGCCAATCAATGTGGGGGAGGGAGGGGTGTGGTATATTAATCCTTTTGTGACGGGAGTTACTGTGGCTCTTCCGGGAGGCACAAAAAGCTGTCTACCATTAGTGCGAAATTTGGAAATAGAAAAGGGAAGAAGGACGAAGAAGTCTGACTGGCCACACACATACGTTGCGAGCAGCGCCCGCGGAGTTGCGCGCAGCCAGCACGAGCAAATAGGGCATGTGCCGTGGCCAGGGCCGGGGATAGAGTATCAGGTGCACCCCGAACGGTCTGCAGGGGGAAGGCCCACACCCACCATGGACTTAGGCTGCACGTATTCGCAACGGACACACCGCAATCACCCACAATCTAGAGAAAAAGCCTGGTTCGTAGCTGCTGCATCAACACAGCACCCCGTGCACGATGGCTGTCTTCTCTCTCTCTCTCTCTCTGGTACCACGAATGCCTCACCCCGAGCGATGGGCAATCTAACAGTGTCCTACCCGTTTGATCAGTGCCCTTCCGGTGCCTTTCAGTAGGCAACACAACAACATTACAAACACGCAGGATCGGATGCGATCCGGCAAACGCGGCTGAACGCATGTTGCTGAAGATGCAAAATGCACATCAACAGCACATACATCATGCAACGTCTAGCACTGCCGTCAGGTCATAAACGAGCCTTTGCCGCCATTGAGGACGTAGTCCTATCCCTTGCAAGGGCTTAGGCACAAGCGCGCCGCGAAAGATTGCGCATGGCCCTTCTGCTAAGTACGCCAGAACAGGTGTCACCCAGTGTAAAAAATCAGGATGGTTGTTTTACAAAAGCCACGACTTGAAGAGCCCGCTGTCGATACTAAATTATTCTTAGGGTTAGAGATAGATGGAGAGGGAGAGTGTACTGAAAAAGTCCCGTATGCCTTCAACGCCGATAGCGATGTCGATACCCCACGGAGCCCCTCTGGCCAGCGCTACACACGCAGTTCACGTCGACAATAATGGACGACATGGACGACGTAGCCGCGTTCTGGCAGCACCATGCTGAGGGTTTCTGTCCACAGGGCAACCCGCTCAACGTTTGGGAAGAATTACTGCTCAAAACAGCACAAACGCCTGAGCGTTTCTGCGAAGCTTTGGAAGCGGCCGCAGTCGCTGTTGGTGACCGGTACTGCAACCACGATACTCCGCCGGGTCCGCTCCCTCATATCAGCAAACTGCCGGAGAGGCAGGCCGCCGTACAGCAACACGCTGGATTATGCGGAA